CGTTTCTAAGTTGTTCTTCATTCTCATTATTAAAGCTTGCATGTCTTTTAATATTACAATCATTACATTCATCACAAGCTTGAGTACCAACCCAATTATCAAATTGAATTTGGAAACGTTTTGAAAGTTTTGAGTTTGTTCCATCGGCATCGCAAATTGAAAAGGGTGATCTAATTAATTGTTTTTTACAGTTAAGTTAAATTAAATGTTTGTCAAATTTTATAATCAACAACCCTAATGATTAAATAATTCCAACCATAATACTCAACTCTGTTCCCTTTCAAGACCTATAGAATAAAAAATGAAATAATTATTTACTCTTGTTCCTCATCTTCTGAAATGACAGAAGTCAAAAATATAATTAATGCTAAGATGATAATAATTAATATAATTAATTTTTGCATTCTAAAATCTAAAATACTTCCTCTAAATTGCAAAAAAAAATTTTTTAAATCGGCCGAATCTTGCGACTGACGCTCATACACTGATATTGTAGTTACTAGATTGAACTACATATTAGCGTTTCGTGATTTACATCTTATTGTTAGCGGAATACTTCGTTATAAACCCTAGTATTAAGATTTCAGATATTGATTCTAAAAAGACGCCCAAATGGCGACTAGTAATGATATCAAAAAAATCCTTTCTAAATTGGAACAAATCGAGCAGCGTATTTCAAAAGTTGAAGCAGCTAAAGAAAAAGAAGAAACTATTCCAAAAACAACAGCACAAATCGATTTGTCGACAATATTAGAAAAAATGGAACAAATGGAGAAGAAATTAGTCAACTTAGAAAATTTGTTCTTAAACAACAAAAATAACGACAACACCAATATTAATATTCAAGAATCGGTGCACGAAATGGAGAGACAGCGTTCTCTTGTATTTATTGGAATAAACGAAAACGACAAAACAACAGCTTCAGACAAGCATAAAGAAGATCAGCACGTGGTTGAAAAGCTTCTCAACCGGTTGGGAGTTGAGTCTGGCGCGGTTGTGTACCGCATGGGCAAAATCCCAACCGTATCAGGTGGGCCCAGATTGATTAAATGTGTTCTTCCCTCATCTTCTTTGCAGAGATTTGCTTTGCGTCAATGGAAGTACAAACGTTCAGAAATTCGCGAGGATGTGATTTTCAATCGATTATTGGTTCGTCCTTCTTTAACGCGTGAACAATTGGCTGCTGAGAAAGAGAAAAGGGAAATTGATAAGAAGTTGAAGGAAGCATCATTTTCTCAGGTTTCAACACGTAAAAACCAAAAAAACGTTTAAGGTCTTTTAATTTTTTAAAAATTTTTTATTGCAATACTAGGAGTCTTCTCAATAAACTAAATGAATTGCGTATGGTGTTGATGTCTAATAAATTCCATATCTTGGCTTTTTCCGAAACTTGGTTAAATTCTAAAATTGAAGATTCAGTAATCATTCAAGGTTTTAATTATCATTTAATCCGTTCCGATAGGCAGTCCCGTAAAGGGGGTGGAGTGGCTATTCTTATTTCCGACTTAATCCCCTTCCAGAAAATTAAGGTCCCTAAAATTCCAAATTCCGATATTTGTTGTATTGATGTCTTTTCCCCTTTGAATCAACAAAAAATAAGACTCATTGTCGTTTATCGACCAACGACAAAAGAAGCCCTGGAACATCTTACCTCTCTTATTGATTGTTTAGTACTTCTTTCATCTATCGATTACCCGTATTATATATTAGGCGACTTTAATTTCCCAAACCTTAATTGGGCAAACCCAAATCCATTCCCAAATACATTAACACCTTCTGAATCTATTTTTCTGGAATTTTTTCAGTCGAGCAATCTTGAACAAATTGTCCAAGCCCCTACTAGGAATCAAAATTATCTTGATTTAGTTCTTACTTCTGATAAATCTCTAACATCTTCTCTTTCTGTCGAGACTCCAATGGGTGGTTCTGATCACAACTCCATTCTTTTCGACATTAAGCTTAATTTTAAATCCCAATCTAAATCCAACCCTAAGTATCAATTCAATAAAGCCAATTATTCACATATTAATGGTATTATTGCCAATATTGATTGGGTTCTATTTTTCTATGATTGTATCGACGTCGAATCATGCTATAATAAGTTTCTATCATTTCTTCACACTATTATTCGATCATGTGTACCCCTATCAAACAAATCAGATTCTTTTGAACACTTTCCTGCTCATATCCAACGACTTCACCAATATCGCAAAAATTTATGGAAAGGGATCTCCAAACCCCATATTAAGGAAAAATTTATAGAAACTTCTAATAAACTTGAATATGAAATCTCCAAATTTATAAGAAATAGGGAAAACAAAAAACTCAGTAATATCAAAACAAAATTTGATTACATTTCATCATTCATAAAACCCAAAAATCCAAACATGCCTTCTCTCATCGGCCAAAATAATCAACTCATTTTCTCAAACCAAATTAAATCTGATATTTTGGCCGATCAATTCGTTTCTGTTTTTTCCAATCAAAATCTTTCTTCTCAACCCTTTTCTTTCCCAAACCATTCCCCACTACCAACATTACTAACAATATCCATTGACCCACAAATAGTCTTTGATACAATATCAAGGCTTGATAACTCTAATAACACATCACCTGATGGTGTACCAAACATTTTCTATAAAAAATGTAGGGATACACTCGTCTTCCCTCTTACTCATATTTTCTCACTGTCAATTCTCAGCTCCAAAATTCCATCAATTTGGAAAAAAGCTATTATTAGTCCGATACCAAAGAAAACAAATCCGCAATATCCAATAGATTTTCGCCCAATTTCCCTTCTTTGTTCTTCATCAAAAATACTTGAAAAAATAATCGCAAATGAGCTTCAATTATTTATCGAATCACATAAAATTCTACCTGAATGCCAGCATGGTTTCCGTAAATCTCACTCAGTCTCAACCCAATTACTTGAGGTTATGGACGATTTTACATTTGCTTTGGAAAATAAAAATTCCGTTGATATAATTTACTTTGATCTGGCTAAGGCCTTTGATACCGTTCCTCATTCACTTCTAATTTCAAAACTTCATAAAGTGGGAATTCAAGGGAATCTTCTTTCCTGGATAAATGATTACTTAACAAATCGCACATTTACTGTGCGTGTATCCAGCCATTACTCCGAGGAAAAACACTGCACTAGCGGTGTCCCTCAAGGATCCATTTTAGGTCCTTTATTATTTATTACTTTTATATCTGATCTCCCAGCTTATTGTTCAACCAAAGGAATAACTATCAAACTTTTCGCTGATGATCTAAAAGCTTATAATATTTTCAATAACATAACAAATGAATTTCCCCTTCAAATTTTCATAAATAAATTCGAAGAATATTGTCATCTCAACGGACTTAAAATTGCTATAGAAAAATGTTGCGTTTTATATTTAGGAAACTCTAACCCATCAACCAAATATTTCATTAATGATATTGTTATCCCTCAGACCTCTGAGGATTCAGTCCGTGATCTGGGCATATATTTCTCCCATGACCTCAAATGGGATAAACATATCAATATAATCACTCGTAAAGCAATTAAATGTTCATATTCCATTTTCAAATCAATTAAAAGTAAGAACTCTAAGATCCTCACAAATTTATTCAATATTTATGTCCGTCCTATTTTAGAATTTTCTTCCCCCGTATTTAATCCACATCTTGAGAAAGATATTAAATCAATTGAAAAAGTTCAAAAGGATTTTCTCCGTTGGGTATTTAGACGTATTAACCCCAAAACCGAATTACCTGACTATCCTGAATTACTAAACTATTTTAAACAAGAATCCCTATTGTATAGACGAATTAAGGCCGATCTAAATTTATTCCACCAACATGTTTGTGGGACTATATCAATCAAAAACAATAATTCGTATTTTATAAATAAAGCTAGTACCAGGGGGTTCCAAAACATTCTACCTATAGCATGTAACACAAAAGCTAGATTCCACTCCTTTTTCGTTAGGACTGCTCGGTTATATAAATTTATTCCTCAACATATGCGCAATTCAACTCCCGATCACTTTAGTCGACTCCTAGTTACTTTCGATATATCCCAATTTATTGACTCACTCCCTAATCACCTTAAAAGACATTTTTACAAATTTTAAATTATGTTAAGGAAATCGTTTGTTTACGTTTATTTTATTTGTTTTATCATATTATTGTCTGAAATCGTCGCGCTGGTGCGTATAAATTTGATTTGATTTGATTTGATGAGTGCGTCTTGCGATTTTTATTAACTGAGGCATTTTGCATGTTCTATGAGGATTGCTTGGGATACTGTTCTTTATTTAAAATTTTTCAAAGTATTTTTTAATTATAATAATTGAGAGAATACTTTATGTATAAATTAGAAAAATAATATTTATTATTTAGCTAACTTTAAACAAATCTGTTTTTTTAATTTGTTGGTTAACCACATATTTTAATAACATAATTTAATGAAAATAAAATGACTTTGCTTTAGTTTTCCTTTATACTATTTTTATTTTAGTTAATTAATCATAAAATAAATTAAAATATTAGTTATAAAAATATTTACTCTCTCATATTAATCACTAACTGAATAAATTTTAAATATATTTATGGAATTTAACAAATCAGCTGGGAGTACGCTTAAAATCCGATCCCTACAAATAATAACTGATACATTTTTTTGATCCAAAAACTGTAGCAAATACACTAAAAATTGTGTTTTTAGTTTCCGAAATAGATTAGCAGAAACCATTAGCAGAATATATGCATAGACCATGGAGGAAAATTCTTTGAATGGTTTGTAAGTAATAGCAGAAAACTTTGGTAAAGATTTACCTAAATATGACTCAGATTTTGATATTTTTCTATATTATTTCACCTTATTTGCCCTTGATTATTTCGTAATATTTATGAAAAAGGAGAACAACTTGTATATTAATAAAGTTTATTTTATCATTAACTAAAAAATTTTCGATTTAAAATCACAGCTTTATTTAATTAAAAAATTAATTTCATTGTTGCATAGACTTCTCTATTTCACTTCGTATTTCTGGTTTTAAATTTTGCATAAAATCTTGGATAAGTTTATTCTTTTCTTGTGCTGGCAATGTTGGATTTTTGGCGATTGAACTCAATTTACTTAAATTTAATTAAATTTTAATTCTAATTTTAAGAATTATTTTATTAAAAAATTTATAAATCCAATTAAATTTTAAACTTCTTCCCTTAGAAACTGTTACTTTTCTATTTTTTCGAAAGTTAATCAAAAATTTTGAAAGTTCGAGAACTTTATTATAAATATTTCCCTTGTATTTGTATCCTCTTATCTCAAGAATAATTTAAATAAATTTAAAATCATACGCATCGGCCTCTTTAGCTGCTGAGCTAAACTTCGCAATTGCCGCTTGATGCAATTTTTCTGCTTCAGCTTCTGCTTTGCTTTTAGCTTCTTCAAACTTTGCATATTTTGCCTGAATTATAATTTTTAATTCTTAACATTTATAGGTCCATTAATATAGCCATAAAGACAGAGACTATACATCAACTCCCGTTATAAAATACTCGATTACCTGAATTTCAGGAGTCTGTTCAGCTATCCAATCCTTAACTAATTGTTCAATTTCTCCATCTGTTTTTTGTCCACTTTTTATTAATAATTGATGAAATTCGGTAATTTTATTTTGCGGTGCGCCTTCCAAAAAGGGAGGTGGTGGAGGTAATCCGGCACTTTGAGAGAATATTTTTACAACAAAAATTGAAAGAAAGATAATAGGCAGAAGAGATTTTTCAATTGAAGACATTTTGAGTATCTTTTTTAGTTTTTTTTTGAATTTCTAAATTAAGTTTAACTAAATAATTTTTAAAATTAGATGTAATAGGCTTTTAATTGCGTTTTTCTACTTATAATAGAAGGAATTGGAAAAGGGACGAATAAAAAGTTGTGATCTCGATTGAGTCCTTTCCACAGTATTTCTATTTAATTCTAAGTCTTATCAAAATTTTGTTTCTCCAGATTTATCAATTTAAAAACGATTAAAATATTTCTCAAGAAAAATTAATATTCTTAAATTTTCTTTAAAATTTTCCCAAAAGAAACGAAAAAATTTTTTCTTAGATTAGATTCGGAATAAAAAAAATACTTGCTGAAATTAGCCTTGCTTTATATGTACCAATTCAATGAATTTTTTTTTATTTTAACATACGTATAATGCAAAATATTTTTTAATCCGGGTATTTAGTTATAAATTAATTTAATTACGGACAAAAATTATTTTTGAGACAAATAATAAAATTAAAGTTATTTTAGTAAATTAAGAAAAAAATTTTTTTGATAAACTAAAATCTTTTTCACTTAAATTTGCCCCAAAAATTTCCTTTTCACAAAAAAGAAAGTCAAACACAAAAAATTTTTCTGTAAATTTTTTAAATAAAAATATTTAAGTGTTCAAGAAGGAACTTTCTTTACTGAAAGTTATTTTGATTTGTTTTTAGAATTTTATTTGTTTGCCTATAATGATTGTTTGAGTTTGTTTGCAAACAAAAGGGTAAAATAATTGTGCACACTTTTAAGTTGTTTTTAAGAAAGTTAAAAAAGTTTTATAAATAAATATTACATTTTACATTTATTTTTTTGAGTGATTTTGTTTTTGAAAAAAATAATTTTACAAAATAATAATTTAATAAAAATCAAAAAAAGGAGAATCCCTTTGATTTCTATATAAGTGGAACTTAAAATGGAGGGAGGACAGAAAGTAGATAATTTATGGGGTAAATCAGGCTTTGGAACTGAAGTTAATAATTAATTTATTAAAATAATTTTTAAAAATTGATTGGAGGGAATACTAAATAACTAGTCTATAAAAATTTCTAAAAATGTAATAATCTACCCCTTTTTATAGTAAAAAGGGAGATTTGTTAGCGCAGTTTTTTACCACCCATTCCGGCCAAAACCGGCTTAAAAATTAAAAAAAATACAAATTATTAACAAATAAAAGAGAACAATTTATTTATTTGGGCAATTCTCTCAAAAGGGTGTAGGTGTAATGATGACTTTTTATAAAAAAAGAGGTAAAAGGTGACAGATTTCGCCCAAACAAAATGTTTTTATTGAGAAAATTGATGAATGAACAATAAAAAAATTAATAGAGTAAATCGCTGTTTAGTCGGAAAACGTCCAATTTTTTGCTGGGGGAGGGGGGGGGGCAATTTGTCAAAGAGGGGTAGGAAATGTAAATATAGAAAATAAATATATTCTGCGTAAAAGATCACTTCAGAACTATCCATATCCCAGAAAATTTGAGTCGCGCTGAATGAGCTTTAGCCACAAATGAAAATATTCGTCTGAAAGAACATATATTTTGTCTGAAGGACTGTCTTATTCGTCTGAAGGAACATGTACGCAAAGTTTCATTTGCTTTTATCCTTATTTTCAAGGTACCTAATCACTGACGTGTATATATAAAGTATCTTATATTGTTAATCGAAGAAGTTTCAATCAAAAATCCTTGTTGATATTCAATAACAGGCAAACAAGCTTGCTGTTCAAAAATCTATTTTAGTTTCCTTATATATATTAAATCTGTTAAAATAATGCCAAAAATTTCATTTTTCAAAAAATTTTTCAAAGAATTTTTAAAAATTTCAAACTACAATAGTACTTTATGTTCTATTATAAACAGATTTAAAGAGCTTAATTAAAATATTTTAAAAAATTTTAAATTTCATAAACATCTAAATATTTTTCCAAAAATATTTTTTAATTACTTCAGCAGCCTCTATTATCCATTTTAAATTTGATCTTTTGGAAGTAAACACCTCCCCCAATAATAAATAATGTTTTTGTTATTGTTTTGTTGCTATTAACAACATAAATAAATAAATTAGTCGATTAAAAACATGAATAACATTGAAATGTTTTTTTGGCGAATTTAAAAAGAAATAAATATTAGGTAAAAATTATAAGAGAGCAAAGATGAAGAAGAGGAAGGGAAGAGAAGAAGATATTTTTTTGTTTCTAGTTTTTAATTGTTCTGTTAAATAAATAATATTTTTAAAAAATTTTCTGGTTATTGTTTAGCGAATCAGAACAATATTCGCTTAATTTTTGTTTTGTGAATAATCATATTTTTTATAAATAAAAATGAGATTTTAATAATTGAAGAAGGATAAAAAAGATTTTTTATTACTTAAATTTTTTTCTTCAAAATATTTTGTTATTTTTTAGGAATTATTTTTTATATATTATTAAAAAAATTTTTTTAATGATGAAAAATTTTTAGGTAAATTAATTTAATTAGTCCTGATTTCGTTTAAATTCGGGAATTATAAATATTTTTTTATTTATATATTTTTACATATCAAGCTGAAAGTAATTTAATAATAGAAAATAACTTCACTTTTTCACTATTTTTGGCTTAGAAATTTTATGATTTTACCCTTTTATTTTTAGATTCACCCATTCCTGATATCTATGGTAAGGCATAAAATTGGTAATTAAAGATCAGATTATTACTTAATAAACAAATTAACCAAACAAAAAACTACTAAACTAATTAGAAGAAAAAAAGACTGAAAACGTTATTGACAGTTATAAAAAACGGAAGTTAAAAAAAAAGCAAAAACAATTTGAGTATTACTAATACCTAAATAATGAACACAAAATATATTTTTTATATTTGAGTAAAAATTAATTTAAAAGAGTACAAAAATCTAAATTAATTAATTTAATTACTAAAGTGTATTTTTTCTTAATTGAAAAAATTTATTCATTAATGAGTCACTTTGTTCTAGTAAGTAAACACGTTAAATCGACTGTTTCTCGAGAATGATTTTCAAAAAAAATTAAAAATTTTTTCTATTTATAAACTAATTAAAACTGTAGTTAATTTAAAATAATTTTTATAATCTAGTTTTTTCAAGCATATTTATTTTTTTTAAAGTTTCATCAATCATTTTAAATTACTATTCATTTTTTCTGTATCAAAATAAAATAATAATTTAGAGAGCTATTATTTTATAAAAGCTAAGGCAATACTGTTCCATGTTATACTTTAACGACATTTTTGTATTAAAATATTCTCTCACTACAATGGCACATTACAAAATCCTTTTTTTTTGTTTGACACTGCAGATTCTATGGAATTATAGGTTTAAACGGTGCCGCTGATTTTAACGGTCACGCTCCAGTCCACCATTTTTTGAAATAATTACTCGAGCAATATCACGTCAATGAGTCATTTAAAAGTCCCTTTCACCAACGAGACCATTCTTTCAATGTATTTTAATTAAAACTTTAAAGTATTACTTTATTTAATCCAAACACTAAACTACAAAAAACAAAACAAATAGCTAATTTAAGAAGGATTTCCCTTCCAAAAATAAAAAATATTAAAAAAAGGAAATAATAGGCTTTAAATTTAAGCCAAAAGAGATTTTGCCGTTTGCAGATATTTTTTTAGATAAATTTTTAATGAGGGGGAGGTAAATTGTTATGGAAAGGAATTTAACAAAAAATGATTAAAATAATTAAATATTTTTTTAAATTAATTATAGGCATGCATGTCTTAGTAGGAATATTTGTTATTTAAAGAATAATATTTATCTGCCTGTCCAAAAGTAATAATTAAATAGTAAATACTAAATTAAAATCATTGCTTTAAAAAAAGTCAAATTACCTATTTTTCATAAAATTTCTTTCGAGTTATTGGCCGGGGACGAACATTTTTAAAAATTTGGAGAGTTTTCCTTTTGTCAAAATTTTGTCAAAATTTTGTTAAAATTTTTTTTATCAATTATGACAATATTTAACTGAAAAAAGTCAATGAAGTGACCATCATTCTAAATTTTTAAGGAGCTCAAAATAAATGACTAAAACTCTGATTCATCAAAACGAATCCAATATTCTTTTAAACCTGCAGAACCTTTGATTACAATCGAATCTAAGGTAGAAAAAACAAAATTAGTCTTGTGTCGATTCAATACCATGTACCATGAACTAGACGACATAAGAAATCACAATTTTAGGAATCGTGATTCCGGTCCCAAAAAGTAATTAATTATTTAGGAAATGGTGAATCGTGATAGTTAATTAAAGTACCTATTTTGTTTTAACAAAAACAAATTAGAAAAAAAAATTAGAAATTAGGAAAAAAACAAATTTGAGGAATAATATGTTTATCTTAAGCTATGCTTCAATAATACAATTTTCTTTTCTAAGAAATCCACCGGAAGTGTTAAGAAAAAAGGAAACAAAATAATTAAATACAAAATTGTTTTTAATATACAATTTTATTTTCTATTTTTTTTTCTATTTACTCCCCCGTGAAAAACAAAAAAAATAGAGTTTGTATTTACTAAAAGTTATTTTTCATTTTCAAAATATAGTAGTACATTTCTCTAAATATTTTTTTTCGAAAAATATTTTCCCCTCCATTTTTCCGTACCTGACAGTGTTAACTTTAATAAATGCCAAAAAGCTTCTTAATTTAGCTATAAATATTTATATTCCTTCTAAAATATAAAAACAACATTCCATTAAAGGATTTAAGAAAGTCTGTTTTTGTCTGTCTTTAATGGTCTAAATTAATGGATTCCGTCATTAATTTGTTTTAATGTAATTGCTGTAAATATTGCTGTTTTTATTAATAAACAGGAAAGGATACTTTTGAAAGATCCTTTGCAAATTTTTGGATTTATTTTTTGTTTAAATTATTTTTTGCTTTCAATGAACTTGAAGGGAAATTTCAAAATTTTTAGTAATTTTTGAAATAAAATTAAAGTGAATAAATAATTTGGTGGAAAGAAAATTTTGAAGACTCCCTTCAAGAGTGATCCCTCTTTTCTTACAAGCTCCGTCTCTCCTTCTCTTTTAATATAAGTAGATCATAACCTCCCCCTAGCTGGGGTTTTGGATCCTAGACAGATATCTATCTTCAACCTTACAATACAATATTATTCCTATTTCATCAACATTTACCCATTTAAAGTGCGGAAATATCAAACTCTAAATAACAAATCTCATAATAACGCGTGTGTTTATTATTAGATAAAATTTAACAATTCATTCACACCAGAAAGACTTTTTATTAATTGTAAAACTCCAAACGATGAGGGCCTAGAATGAGATCCTCGTGGATCTCATTCTCTCTATAACTCTTTTTTTTAATATGCAGGTATTTTCCGCTTTAATGAAAAAATAAATTTGTTTAAATTTTTTCAAATAAATGAATAATAGATTTCAATTTCTTAAATATCCAAGTATTAATTAAATAGTACACTTATTAAATTAAATTGAAAAAAATAATTGACGTTTACTTTGTCATTTAAGAATAACTTCCAAAACCAAAAAATTACTAAAATAAATTTGAAATTGTTTTTACAATTTTAGATAAAAATTTTTTAAAAATATTTTTAGTACCTTAATAGCGTGGCTAAATATATTTCTATAATTAGACATTAGCTTTGGATAAAAATAAAAACAAAGAAAAAGTTTGTCTGAAGACATAAATATTATTTTATTTTTATAATTATTTTATAGTCAATATTTGTAAATGCCACATGTTATTTTTAAAAAATCAAAAAAATTTTAATTTACGTAATTCTGAAAAGTTTTTATGATTTGTTTATTCATTATATGACTTGTATTTTTGTATTATAATATATTACATGATGTATATATAATGTATAATATATAATGTATATAATATATATAATGTATTACATATGTAAAGTTAAAATTAAAGTTATAATTATTATTCACAAATGCCAGACTTAAAACTTTAATCAGTTTTTCTTCAACTAAAGCTTGATAAAAGTTTGACTTTAATGGGTTAATGATTCGTTTCACTTTCTTTATTTGTTTCTCTCACATGTGGGAATAGCGATTCCATTTTCTTTTTTATCCTTGGGAATAAAGAACGAACGAATCAAACATTCAATCGAATAATTTTCGTATTGTAACTATTTATTTCGAATTCGATTTTTAAATTTTTCCGATACATATCTGTGCCATCCATAAAAAAATAACAAAATCACTCGCTTTTTAGAGCCAAGTATATTCCTGAAATAATCCTACAAACCATTCTGTTAGTACTTTGCATTGGATCTAACATTTTAGAAATGTTTTGGCATACAATGTAGTAAAAGATTAGCTTTTAAATTAACAGAAAACCAAAAAAAATTAGCTTTAACATTTCCTTTTCTTTGAACTTTTAATTCCTTCTTTCTATTAATAAAGTATTTAAATATTTGTAGGATTGCTTCTTGTAGTACATTCAATTATTTTCTGGAAATTATTAGAGATACTTTTGCTTTAGATTATTTGAACCTTTTAGAAATTATATTTTATATTAGCTAATGTAAATATTTCTGCTTCGTCGCTAAAAAGACTTGGTTTGGTTTTAACCTTTGAGGTTTGTCTCGGTATTGGGACCTTGTCTTGCTCTCAAGCGTATTGGGATGGAAATTTTGTCTTAAAGCTTGTAAAATTTTCGGTCTTGGACATCTCTAATAATTATTGTCCTAATATTATTGTTCTGTTCCCATTCTGAGTTATCGAAAATCTCTCCTTTATCCCTTCTGGGAACTAATGCTGTTTTTACCGTAATGAGATAATAATGTAATGAGATAGTAATGTGACACTAATTTTTCATATAGATAAAATGAAGAATCAACAAAATATTTACTATATTAAAACATATCGAAGAAATTTACATAATATTCGCCGAAATTCAAGAGAAATTTTATTTTGTCCTCTAGCAGCATTTCTTTTCACTTTAACTAGCCTTTTAATAATCAACATTATCAACAAGAATATTTTGAAAGCCGATGCAGCTAAAAGGCGTTTGTGTGGACCAAGACTTACTTCGGAATTATGGAGGGTTTGTACAAAAGCAGGTAATTAAACAAGTTAGTGCTGTCTGTTAGAGAATTGTGAAAAAATTATTTTTCCGATACTTCTTCCAAATTTCTGATCAAATTTTTTTTCATAACATACAATTTTAAAGTATGGGCAAGAATTTTTTAAATAGGAAAAATGCTGGAAAAAATAACCCATTTAGTCTTTCATATACACTAAGGCAATACGGATTACGAAAAATTTATACGTATTTTTTAAACTTTATGTTTAAATTTAAGGATTTAAATATTTCAGGATCTAAAGGCCCATGCATTCACGGAATTAGTAAACGTATAACAACAAATCAAAAAAATATTTTTATCAAAGAAAGGCAATTATTACGGAGAAATTATTTAAATACTTTTTGGAATATGCATTATCAGATAATCAAAAACGGTCAGTCTTAAAATTTATGTTTTATTTAACGAGATCTGGGCTCCAGACACGGAGCCAAAGTTTTCTGAATTGCTCTACGATAAGGAATACTGGTAACAAGAGAATGGCTCCCTTAATTTTATTAATCTAGGAAGGTTCAGTGGCCAGATTCGTCAATTTTCAGCGTCGCAGGCGAAATCTCCTCCTTTTGCCAAATTTTGGAATTAAAAAATTTTTTCTCCTCAGATTGGTGTATTTTTGCGTTTTTGCGTTAAAAATTCCGCAAGACGCAACGCAAGATGGTGAATTTTCGATATATTAAATAAGCAAAAATACATTAAAAACAGATAGGTATTTATAATCATTTACTTTTAGTTGAAACATTTTCCTGTCTTATCTCTAAATTTTTAAAAATTAAAAACTAAATTTCTCAAAATATTTCAGGTTTATCCAATCAATTATTAACTAACAATGAAGGAATGTTTAAAAACCGAGAAAACGAAAACAAAATTTTAGAACGACGTAAAAGGAAGGGAATTGTTGATGAATGTTGTAAAGGTGAAGGATGTGATGAAGCATTTCTCGATTCTTTTTGTAAGAGATTTTAGAGGGCATATAGATATAAACTTTTCTTTGGATGGAGATATAAATTAATTTTATAAATGTTCAACTAACGACTGTAAGATGAAATTATTGTTGTTATCATATTTTCAGGCTTTTAGTCAATCCCCCACCCGACCCCCCCCCCCCCCCCAATAAAAATAAAATTAAAAATTTTACTTTATTTAAAGAAAAGTTAAAATAAGTAGTTAAGAATGCTCAATTTAAAATTATTATTTCAGGTTGCAATGAAGACGAACAAAAAACTTTAGAAAAATTAACGAATTAATTGGAAAATTTTCAAGTGATTTATTTAATTATGTATGTCCTATATTTCTCTTTTAATTTAAATATTTTTAATTAAAATTTTATTTGTTTATTTTTATTTTTTAACCTCAAATATATTTAATAAAAAATTTAAATTTAAAAGAAAACGTTTTAATATACCTAATGAAAGGCTAACTCTCATTAGCTGCATGGTTGGTATTCGATTAATATTTTCCCTTTTTCATTGCTATTGACACATCCTTATCTAACAGATTACACTTTTCTTTTAAAATCTCATCTATTTAAAAAAAATTTTCCACTTTTTTACTATTTTGAAAAATAAATTTAAAAAAGGATTTCTATTTGAAAAAAATTTTATCTACATATCTACATACATAAGTGAATATTAAAGTTTAATTTTACTGGTCCTCTATATTTTCTTTAATGAATGTCAGATTCTTTAATATTATCAAATGCCGAAAATTTTTCAAATATTGTATATTTTTTGAGTAAAAACATTGGAAAATTCCCTTCTCTATTTAAATTAATATTTCTTGCTCTAATAAATCCATCATTGTGTAATGGACTTAGAGCAGCTTAAAAAATAACATTTAAAATTAAGTTATAAACATGTTTAATTGTACAAATTTTGTCGCCTTTTTCAGCCCAAAGTTCCTCTGGCATTATTGGGTGTTCTAAAATAAAAATTTATTTTCAGATAACAGAAATGCTTCGAAAGTTTGTATTCTGATTTTCCAAGATTATTCTTGTTTTGGAAAACCTTTGTTAGGTAATATCATTATTAGAGCCAAACTAAATCGAGCTTATTGTGCTCTTTCCAACGAGACACTATTTTATGACATCCTTCGATTCATGTATAAAAATTTCTGTAACCCCCCGAAGCTTTTTCGGATCTGAGAGGGGTTTTCATTTTTTTTGAAGCGCGGATCGGATCGGAGTAACGAATATTTACCCATAACTCCAGACTCTAGCGGTACACCTTTGTATGGACAAAACTAGGCAGTTATTTTACAAAAAATGGATATCACTTCGTTTTTTGTACCAAATTTTTGTACATAGTAACAGAAGATGTTCACTTGTAGGAATATGAATTTATAAATTATTTATTTACCATGCTTAGGCTTATACTCAGTAGTTGTTTCCAATTCTTTTGCTGAAATTTTTTTAGATTTTTTATTGACGTTGTTTACGGTCGGTTAACCTAACCGAAAACCGGGGGTCAAAAACCGGAGATAACCGAAAACCGGTGGCTTAAACCGATCGGTTCCGGGTTTAAAAATACACCCTCCACCATTTATGAAATTTATTGGGAGATTACGCCAAAATATTTTTCTCGATTTCATTTCAATAAATACATATGTATAATTTTTCTCGGCTCTCACAAAAGTGTGTGTTGAGTGGGTAGGCTGATGGGTTTACCTCGATATTTTTTGGCAGGGAATTGGAGTGCGCTCAGCGTCTGACTTATAGAACATGAAAATATAAATGGGATAACAAAATGAAAATTTAGCCAAAAACCTGTTTCAGTTAATCAAAATCGAATCCGAAAAACGGGGGTACCGGTAACCGGTAGTGAACAATCCCAATTTTTATTATAAAATATGTATGCGTTTTCTTTTACATACATATTCCATAAAAATAATCATGTGAATGCGCATTCTCAGTTGCATCACCATGAAATGACTGCATAAGTTCATAAATTCTCATACAAGTCTGTTAGGAATTAAATAGTTAAAAATAAAATTTATTTTCAATTTTAAAAGATTTAAAGACTTACACTCTGTCCCATAATTATAAACGCTTTAAGTGCAAAATATGGGAAAGAGTGTACATATCTTCTATTTTTGATTTAAATAAAAATAAGAAAAAATACCTACATTGCTACTGAAAGTACACACTAGAAATTGGCATTTAGAGAGAATATGATATACACCCAATATTTCAATTAACGCTTTTTTTGATTCAACTAATAAATTTAAAATTTAAAATCTAAAATCTTTGATTTGAAAATTTGAAAAAATTGATCGTAAATATTTATTAGTTTTAAATCATATTTTTAATTCCTTTCCAAGAAGTAGAACTAGCCAAAAAAATATGAAGTTCTGCCTAATTATTTTAAGGGGCTGTCAGCTCAACGTTTAACGCCGGCCTTTTTAAAATTTATAGCTAAGCTTATTATCTATTTATTTTATCACAAACACTTCAAGTGATTTATTATATACATATACTAAATAATATACATAAATTAAAGATTATCAAAAAAACCTATTTATTAAATATTTATTAAATTATTTCAATTAAAGCTTTTTTTGGCTGTATATACTATACAGCCAAAAAAAGCTACTGATTAGTAGCCAAAAAAGCTACTACATTGCTACTGATGTATATACCTACATTTGCTATAGCCCAGCTGCTTTACTATATTCTTTGAATGTTTTCAAGGAATATAGTAAAGCAGCTGGGCTATAGCTATTTTTCTCTTTTAGCTAGTGCAAAAGGGAGCGAACCAGCATCTTCAGTAGACCGGACTGATGTGTTAGCCATTAGACCTGTACAGCCTTAGGAAATTAATAGCTACTATATGCTTTACAATATTTAAGAAGCTAAATTATTTAGTATTTTAATTTTATAAATTACATTGTTTTTTGTTCCTAAATACTTTTCCGTGATAAATTTCATATTTATCTCCCCATTTATTCTCAATTTCTTTAGTTATATACTTAATATCAGGGAGATCTGCTGCAACAAATAACATCCTTTTATTATTACAGTCTGACGGAATTGGATGGCTATTTTGATAATTTTCTTCATTAACATCAAACCAAATTTCAACCCATTTCTAGATATTAATTAATTAATAATTTAATTTCCTAATCTCCAACCATATAATCATCAAGTCCAAAAAATTTCGCTTCTTTTATTTTGTCTGTTCGACGAACGTGAATTCCAACAACTGGGCCTTTAAGGATTAATTAATTATGTATATTAAGTTAAAGTTAAGAAATATCCAAAAAAACATCCTACCACACTCGAAGGGTATGTTTGAGACTGTTTGATTTATTACTTTTAAAATTTTATCATTTTCTCTCCAAATATATTTTAATAACTAAAAATATTAATATCTAGAAATTATAAAAATTTTAATAGAAAAATATTAAAAATCTAAAATTTGAGACAACCCTAGAAGTTCGACACTGGAAAATCGCACCATTTTACCGCCGTTTTGCTCTATATTTGAACGATTTCATCACATTTTTGCACTTTTTTGATAAGCCATGCCCCTTTTAGGTAATAAGGAAAGAGAAACCTTGGATGGGATCAGAGGTTACCCATCAGGGGATAAACACCGTCGATAACAGACATAATGGGGACTGTGAGCTGGACATTTACCGATCGAAAGTAATATTTCAAAACTCAAATTTAATAAAGTATCTATATTCGAGAACTGGAATTTAGACCCACCGCTAGCTGGCAGAGTCAGCAAATTTACCTGTCCATAAAACCAAAGTACAGGATTAGAATGATATTTAAGAAGAAAATCTTTAGCTTCTAATGGAGCAGCTTCAAAACCGACTTTATCCTTAATTTGTAATTTTTTATTTAAAAATATGGGTCTAATCAACTGAATTGAAAACTGTTATTCTATCAGTTTGCCCTGGTCCTCTATATTCATTAATTGGAAGAAATGGCTGGACCTTAATAAATAGTTTATAAATTTTGACAAATTTTGATAAATGTACAGTTGAATACTTCAATCTTTTCCTATCTTTCCTAATGATAGGGAAAGATTTGTAAATACTTATCATTGCAGAAATTTTATATATGTAAGAGGAGAAAAGTATGTATTTCCATATTCTTCAGGGGAGCTTTACTCACCCAAAGACACACATTCAATATCGAAAATTCAATGAGAATGAGCGAGAGCTTTTCTGCGAGTAGGAGTCAACTGAACATTTATCCCTAAATTCCCTTCATACATACATGTTCACCAAAACTACAATTTGAAATTGATTTAAATATTTCACTCCACTTAACATTAAATTTAAATAATTTAACATTTTCATTCATTAATATTAGTGTACGTCCAGATTTTATTGCATTAATAAAACATAAACTAACAAAAACTTATTAAAATAAAAATAATTTGTATTTACATAATCATTTCCATCATAAACCCAATCCCCCAATCAGGGCCACCATTCTAATAAAAATTGTTTTGTAGCTGACAAAAATATTAATTATAACATTTTACCAACCGGACAGGCCATAATCATTGCATTAAAACAATCATTAGGATTTTGAAGTAAATCTATTGAGGATTGTATCCTTTCACTTAAAATTGAAAGTTTCTGTTGGTTATTTTGTTTAATATAAAACCGACTTTCTTCTGATAAATTATTAATTATCTAAAAAAGATTATATATAAGTTATCAATTAGAATCCGAATATTAAGGAATTCTTCTGTCACTAAAATCTGCCTTTTTTATTATACATATGAATGATTAAACAACTAAAGCTGGGCTAAGTTCTTCCTATTTGGAGAGCTTTTTATGATCGAATCCATCGAGCATACTTATGTACATAAATCGTTTTAATAGGTATTTAAGTATAATTAAAATTAACTTAAACATTTTTATCTATCATGAGTTTTTGTTCAGAATTTTCTAATGTATTATATCCAAACAAACATCGAAAATAAATAAATTTTTGTACAAATGTCATTTCATTATATGCGTCCTTTAATTAAATTGAAAATAAAAAATAGTTATAAATTCTAAAAATAATTATTTTTTTTAATTCTAAGAATAACCTTGCTTATTATAAGATCTTTATTTATAATTTTTGAAGCGTTAGGCAATTGAAAACTTTTTAAAATATTATCAATTTTTATATTGTTATGTTGTTTGAGGTATAAGTAAAATAATAAAAATGGAATAAAAATAATCAGGAATTTAAAAAAATTCTTTATTAAATATACTTTATTAAATTTCGTTTTATTTTTTTGAATTTTAGCGTTGTTATTAGAAATTATTTCATTTTCATCGGAAGGTATCTGATTATATTCGGCCATTTATTATTAAATACCTATTTATTGAAAGTTGAAAATAGTTGATTGTTAATGCAGGTAATTAAAATAATGAAGGAAAATTTCGTTGAGAATCTTCTCAATTTATGAATGTTTTAGTTTAAAAGATCGGTTTCATCGGCTTTTCTTAGGTTTTAACAAAAACCAGACCGTCAAAATTGTTAAATATTTTTATGAAATTTATTTTAATTGAATTTTATTGTTTATTTAAAATTTTATATATGTATAATCATTTATTACCTAGCCTTCAGTGTAAATTTAAAATATTTATTTTAGATGAATAAATATATACTTATTTTTCCATTTTAAAGATTAAAAAAATATAATTTAATAGATCCGAAAAGATGATTAAAAACAATTAATTTTGTTGCAGTTCTTAGCTAAACTTTAATTTTTTTGAATAAAATAATATTCGAGTTTTATTTTTAGCACACTCGGTAAATGCGCGTTTCGTTCCCTGCCTGTCTTTAGAAATTTCAATTTTTGAAAAAGTCAACCCCGACCCCGTAATCCGGCATGATCCATCATTTTTAATGAGGATTACCAAAAGGATAAAGAATATCAGAAAAAAATTTTTTAATTAATATAATTAATTTTGGGTGCGCGCCCAAACAATTTAGACATTCAAGTGACCCCTTATTTTTTATTACCTAAAATGTATTACTAATTCAAAAGTTCAAGAGGTTATTACGTCAATTAAGTTATTTAAAAATATATTTTTGATTTATTTTTATTTTTATAGTCTCCAAATTTATAGTTTTATTTTTATAGTCCTATTTACTCCAAACTGAATCAAAATTAATAAATCAAAATTTTTTATTTTTATTTCCCTGTAATTACTCTTTCCTCTCCCTCCCCCTTCCTCTCCCTCTCAATTTAATTAATTAAAACAAGTTTTAATTTAATTGGAACGAAAATTTTTTATTTCTTTTTTTTTTCTGCTGATTATTACTTTAAAAGTCAAACATCTTAGCCAAAAATATTAAACACTTTAATTTGTCTCCTTTACTTACAAAATGTTGCTCTATTTTAAAAATTTACTTTAAATAATTTCTGTCTTATAAATTATAACTAAAATTATAATTTAAATATTTTCATAAAATATTAGTAATAATCCTTCTGAGGATATCTTATTTAAACTTTAAATATTCTAATAGAAGCCCTGTACTTCTCTGAATGATTATCATTTAGTGGGCTTCTACTAGGGCTTGGTTTTTTAAGAATGGGCTTTTATTAAAACATTTACGATACCTTATATATTTTATTAATTACTCTGGGTAATTATTGTTTCGACTTCTCTCTGGAGGGGTAATTGATAGAGGTTGGGTAATTAATAGAGGAAATTTTAGGAATACTAATTATAACTATTTCTAAGGGGGTAATTATTGTTTCAACCTTTAGCTGTAGGGGATAACTAATAGAGGTGGGGTAATTATTTGAGGGAGGGTAATTAATAGAGTATCTACGGCATATTAAAATAAAAATTTAGCTAAATTATGTTTTGAATAATAAATTTACATTATAATTTTAAAGTTATACAATATTTTTTTAAATTTTAGAATAAAAAATTGAAATTTAATTAAATATTTTAATTAATTAAAAATAAACAAAATGCAGCAAAATAACCATATTTCAAGCATTTTCATTGTTCTTTTAATTCTATTTATAATAGCTATATTAAATGGACAACAAGCTGAAGCTCAATTCTTCCCTGGATTCTTCTGCAATCCTTGTGATAATATTCCTTAAATTAAATAAATTGAAGAAAGGATGATAAAAGAAATTTAAATATATTTTTATATTTACAAATTTTAATCTTGTTTTTAAAAAAATATATAAATTTAAATTTTATTTTGTTTAAGAAAATTTAATTGGAAAATGATAGATGAGAGTTAGATGGTAGGGCACTATCATCGTTATATGATTTTAGTGCTGATTTTAGTCCTTTCTTGGTCGGGATTTATTCTTTTTAATTTCTAAACTTCTTTTTATTTTACTTACCTAACATCTTCAAATTTTCCTTTGTAGCTAATTGATATTTTTTTAGTTGATAAATTTTCGGTATGAGCCTTAATCTTGGTATGCAGTTTTAATTATCGTAAATCAGAAAATTTTCGTTTGAACGAATTTAGTTATAATGGAATTTTGAAATTTGCTCGTATCCTATATTTTTTTGTTCGACTCGTACTTCGTAGACAGTTACGAGTACCAATTTTGTTACGAGCTTCCAAACACTGGTTATAGTTCCGTAATTGATTCATGGTATGACATAAATTAGCTGCCTAAAAACTAGCATCGAAAAATAAATTTTTATTATAATTATAGAATATTTTATTATATTTCTAAAATTAAGGTATATTATTTTTGCTACATTTAATTTTATTATTTAAATTATGAGCCGTACAAATTATTTAATTATCTCAAAATATATTTAAAATTTTGACAAAATCACTTAATTAAGTGTATATTTTATTTAAGGCATTTTGTTGGCAATCTTCAAAAAAATATTTTAAAAATAATTGCTTAATTTTTGAGTTTCTTTCCTCTTTTTTCATTTTTAATTCAGGCACGTTGTGATGACATTACCTAGAAAATAAGTTCGATAATATAAAAAAGCAATTTCTAAAATTAAGGTATCTAATTAAATTACCTAGAAGAAGACTATTTGACTATTTAAAAACCTTTGGGGGAAATTACAGAACCTACAAGATGTCAATCTGTTCGAATTATATATCTTCCGAATCAACCTATTGAGTTTAATGGGAAGACAATATGTATATAATTTAGCTAAGGACTCCCTTTGAGATACAAAATGCTGAAATTGAAAATCTTACGGGGACTCAGCTTTTTTTATGAAAAAATGAGTCAAGTAATTGCCGCTTATAGGAAAAATATCTCATCTATTATTACATTACAGTGTGTTGAAACAAATTTATTAACATTTTATTTTTCCAATCATCTCCTTATTAGATCAGAGAGGTGTTGAGGACTCTAAACTATTTATCCCCTTGCCCATCGTATTTGATGTAAATTTATTTAAAAATTTACCTCATGTTTAATCACTTTCTCGTCAATATCAGAAAGTTCAGAAGCCTGAATCTGCAAAAGACTTTCTAAGCCTAATGTAGCTTTAAGTGCACGCACCTGAACGAATGAAAAATAATTTAAAAAGAATTTTTTAAGTTAAAGTTCTTTTTAGGAAACGCTTTTTTTAAATATGTAAATTGATAAATTTAAGTTATTTTCCGAAAAACTTAAATGAATTTATTAGTTTAGTAAATTTAAAAATATTCTTGTTCAAAGTAAATTAGTCTTAAAATTATCTTTTCAATATAATTACAAACAGAAGAAGCGTAAAGCATACGACGACGAACTGGAGCTTCATCTGGACAACTAAATAATATGAAATAATTTGAAATTTGTAAAGAATATTAAATATTTTACAAAAATTAGAAATTTCTTTAAGTAAAAATAGAAAAAAACGAAATGATTCTTTGTCCTTATTTCAGAAAATACTTATTTCTTTAGCATTCCTTAAAATAAAAATAATTACTATTGAACGAATATAACTTTCGAAATTCGTGATATCCCTTCAGCCCCTTGTCGCTGAACTTCTACTTGGACATCAACTGATGCGTATCTGCATTGTTTTCCATCTCCAACTAAACTTTTCATTTCCTAAATTTAATTAGATAAATTTAGAATTCATAGAAGGATTTGGACATTAAAGAAAGATTTTAAAATTGATTTAAAGATTTCTGACATTGTGATAATCTCGAACTTTTTTACCGACCAATATCAAGAACTTTAATATCATAAAAATTCAGTAATCGGCTTCTAAATTGTCTTTGCAAAAAGTTATCCTGAATTCATTTACCTTAACAAATTCGGAATATGGTGCATTTTTCTCTCCCTTTTTCTCAACAATAATAGTTGTATCATCATCAGAAATTCGAAAAATTAGATATGAATGGAGGTGTTTATTATGTAAATCATCATATGCTTGTTTGCAAGCAGCATCAACTTTAACTCCCGATGCCTTAAAAAATTTTTTTATGTTTTTATTTTTGATAAGGCTTGTTCTAAGGAACAAGTTTAACGGTATTGTTCATAAAACTAAGCGAATATAAAATTTCCGATTAGTATCCTGAAAGACATTCATTGCCTTTTCAAGTCTCGATTTTTAAAACTACAATGCACTACAACTCAGATAAAGTTTATAATTTTTATAAATTTTCCATATATCTTTAAAAAAGTATGCTCAAAAATATTTTTAAAATATATGAATCATATAAAAAATTTACTTACCATCTATAATTTATTATAATTCAAATGAAAATAAATCAAAAATTTAATTAGAATCAATTAGGAGTCAAATTAATAGACACCCGTTACTAAAAAATTTTAAATTTATATTTTAAATAAAATATCGGATTCATAGAAAATATAATTTCGGATTTTGAACATTATTATTGTTGCAAAAAAGCGGTTCTGGAGCAAGTAAAATGGAACTTTCAAACTATCTTGACAGCCTTAAGTGACAGATAGATTTTAGAATCAGAGAAAATCATCTTAAGATTTTAGTTTAAAAAATTTTAGAGATTATATCGATCTTAAAATATATTTTAAGTAAACTATTCAGAAAATTAATCTTATAGATCGGATGTTTAAATCAGTATGTGACAGGGAATATTTTGCTTAAGAGAATATAAAATGTGTTAGGGTCTTTGTAATATATAATCACTTTTAACTCAAAGAAGTAAAAGAAATCGCATATTTTCGTAAATCCTTTACTTTCCTTTTGTTTCCTTGGCCTTAGCTAGAGCTGCTTCTTAAGCGATATTTCAAGTCGATAAATCTGCTGGAAGGAAGCAAAAAGTGATTTTGAGTAACTTTACGGAAAGGCTTACTTCATTGGTTTGATTATTTGTTTTTACTGATCATTAGATAAAAAATTAAATTCTCTATAGATTTTGCTTATAATAAGATGTTATCATTCGAATCTGACATTTATAAATTAGATCTTATAAATTAGAAAATATTCCTAACGATTGATTTGTTAATGAGTTAAATGGCATAGAATATAATCAAGTTTCACAGGAAAGTGTTGGGATATTTACTTGAGTTTAAATAACAGAATGAGGAAATGAGAAAAGACAAATACATGGCTTAAGTAAAGCAAAATAAATATCTCTTCTCTTCCTTTAACTTATTACTTCTCAACTGACAGCTGCTATACATAAAGATTGAGGACAAAACAAAAATGCGGGGGTGGCCAATGAATTGAATAAACAATTGACAAAACTTATCAAGTTAATGATTGGGAATAAATTTAGACTTTAGGGAACTTTGAAGACTAGGGTTCCTCATTTTATATCTTATACAAAAAATTTGCTTTTGTACTAGAATACGATTTCTAGAAGATTGCTTGCCTCCTTATACCACCCCTGTTTCCAATGAAACCCTCAAATGATTTTCTCCAAGTAAAAACAGTTTACCTATATAAATTTATTTGAATAATTTTTCACTTTATTCAATTGAAATTTAATTGATGAGGGGTATGTATAAAATTGATGTGGGGTATAAAACTATACAAAAAATTTAACCCTTCATTCAATCATACAAAAATATTCTCATTGATCTTCACATATCTTAACAACTCGATTGAAATCAACCTCATATCGTTTTAATGCGGGCATATTAAACTCAATAGTATTGGATGGTTGGATGGTATTAGATTGTAATGGATGGACAGAAGTTTTCTTGAAGATGTTTTTTAACATTCTTAAACAGTCACATTGGATTGATTTGTTCATTGTTAAGTAAATGACTGGGGGAATTCCTTAAATTGAATTTGATTATTTAGGTATTTAATTTTTTAAAGTAATTGTACTTGGTTAATGAACTGGAATTTTTAGACCAATGGTTACTTATTTTATCAATGGTTACTTATACAAACTAATTTGAAGGATGGAACAAGAGCTGGAAATAAATCAAGATTTTTTAATTTAAGAATTATGCTCGATTCTTAATTAAATAATTTTGTTTATAATTAGTTTTATAGTTTGGTTTGCCACTGAGTGGATAAACAACATCCTCAATCTTTAGTCTTGAGGGTTATTTCATAAGGAGATTCTACTGCATTTCCCACCGTGTGCATTTAACCAACAAAGTTGACCAATTATTATAATCACTTCATTAATATGGATATACTGCATAAAAACATAAATTGAAGCTGCTAATGCATTGAATAAACTAATTAAAACAACTTGAAGAAAAATCTGGAATTCGAGATTTTTAATTAATGCATATTGGAGAAATAAAAACCATTTTTTTAGAATAACTTTGCTGATTGGATTGGAGATTTCCTTGTTTTGATTGAAAAATAAAAATTATAGAAAAAGAAAGTCAAGTGAGTATCAACAAAATTATAATGCTCATATTGTGGATTGAATGAAAAATATTCTCATATTCCTAATTGAAAGAACAAACCATTACGAAAAATAAAAATAACAAAATACCTCGTTATTACTATCAATATATCCAACATGTGGATTGAAGAAATAACCGAAATAGATACCGCTAAATACAACTGTCTTCGTCCAAAAAATATGTGTTAACCCATAAATGATAGAAACGACTAACCAAATGATAATCATTTTGCCTATAATAAATTAAATTTATAAAAAGAAGCATGGGCACAGAACTACTAATCTGGAAATTTTTCATTAAATTCCTACCGTTAAATAATTTTGTTGCCAACTCAGAAGACAAAAGTTCAACGAAACGGTTTAATGCTAAAGCTAATTCCATTATGGATTCACTCATCCAGCAGACTGGAAATTATTTTCTTTATTAAAAATTTACTAGAAATTAAAAATTTATTAAATTTGTATATTCAAAAAATTTTTTTATTTAACGAACGCTAAGGAATTTCGACTCGACTCCGTGTCGGGCCCAAAAACTTTTTTCTAAACAAGTATTTTATAAGATTAATTATTCTGGATTTACGTTTTTTAGGCCGGAAACCCTTATTTATGTGATTAAAACGACAAAATCAGGCACAGCATTGAAAATTACGGAAAATAACATTAAATAGACAAAATTTATTTAAAAATACAGAAGTTTAAGCATTCTTTGAGACTCTGTTCATTTTAATGGTTCAAACCCAAAAAATGCTCAAATGTATTTCTTTTATTAAAAATAAAAATAACAAAATTAATTTGGATATTGGAAAAATTTTTGACAAAATACCGTATTTTCCTTTAAATTTAAAAATAAATTTAGTTTTTAGAGACATTGTCCATAAGCTCCAGCAAAATAATTGAAAATAGGGGATGAACAAAAAACAAAACCAAAATATCCCAAATATCCAGTTAAGAATCCATTACATAAAATTGTAGCCATATCTATAACTCCAATAAAGAACATAATTTTATAACAAGTACTTTTTGCCGTTAGCTTCCAAATTGAAAACATACAAGGAATATAGAGTATCTAGTTAATTTTAATTATTAATAATTTTTACTATTTTAAGTATTTTATTAATATGTTGTAATACAGTATGGGGCTAATAAATCCACACAGTCAGTGCTTCATCAATGATTTTTCGACAAAATTTTTTAACGAAGATGTCAAATATTATTTACTCACCTCATATATTGTCGACAAAATAATGAAGAAAATTCCAAGTATTTTATGTTGACGTTTTTCTAAAGGGATTTGGTCAACACTGTATAAACTACAATTGTAGAGACGCTCGTATTCATCATGATGAAAGAAATACAAGTCCATTGAAATTTGTATAGAATTTATATGTTTATATTTAAAGCTTTTTGGTTTGTTAAATAATGTTAATCGTTAAAATGATATAAATTTAAAAATTAATTTAGACTATAAAAATACATATTATTCAATTAAATAAGTTGCTTTAACTTTTATTAATTTTAAATTAAGAAATTTTATTTTTCACCTTTTGTTTAAATATTAAATTATATAAATTAGTATATTTTAAAATTCAACATTATATTTTTTATACATAAATTAATTGGTAATTAATATTTAAATGAAAAAGGCAAATTTTTTTGAATAAGTTGTTTTATTTATTCTTACAATTAACAGCCAAGTTATAATTTTGATAAATATTTTTAATTATTCCTTGGAGATTTAAAAAAAATTTATAAACTATTGTATGTACTATTAGTATACAATAACCCTTTTATGCATTAAATTAACAAAATATGTTTGCTGAATAAATCGGGGTAATTGGGGGTTTTGAAAAGCCTTAATTAAATAATGACTTGTAATCCATAAATAAACTTTTCTAATTTTTTAAATGAGAATGTAACTTTAATATACAAACTTTTAAACATTTGCCGATATTAAACGATTCACCTGCTATTAAAATATAATTAAATAATGTCAATTTTCACCTTTTTGTTTAAAAATTATTAATTAAACAAATATTTATTGACAAAGATAATTCACTTAAAATTATTTTTTTATTGTTTAAATGATTGTAATAATCGTATAATTTTTGAATTAATATTTACAGAATAAGGCAAAATTTTTTAATCAAATATGTTGCCTTATTCATTCAAATAAATGTTGATTTAATCATTTTTGAAAAAATTGGATTTTTTTTAAAGAATTTTAAGTTTTAAAAAGTTTTAATTTAAAACAACTTTACAACTTTTTAATGAAAAGCTTATTATAGTAAAGCAGCTGTGCTAGAGCTATGTATTTCTCTCCTTTAGCTAGTGAAAAAGGTAATTTGGCGGATGGAAGCAACCAGCATATTTTATATTGAAATTGGAACGCAAAAATATTTAAACTTAATTGTAATGACAGTTCTAGCAATATAGAATACCGACATGAATCCGTTACTGTTAAATTACAAGCAACCTAATATAGATTTTGTCTATATTTTATTTATTTAAAAATAAAATTTGAAATAATTTCACAATTTTGCCCTTTATGTTTTGAATAAAATTGTGTTTACTTTAATTTAACCGTTAACACGAAGAAGAAAAAGATGCCTCAATACTGAAAAAGATGCCTCAATGCATCAATACCTCAATAAAAAGTTGCCTCAATACTTACGAATTTTATTTAGAAAAAGTGGAATTATAAGGGAATTGGAGAATGTTGAATCGGATAGAATAATAGTGAATTTTGATAAAGACGTAAATATTAGCAACAAATGAAAATTTAAAAAATTGTTTTAAAAAATTCTGTATTATAAAAAAAATATTTTGAAATTAAAATATTTCCTCAAAAATTTCATTAAGTGAATTTCTAAATAGATTTAAAATAAGTAAACAAATAATAATTTTTTATCTAATAAAAGTACTTTCTTAAAGAATTTCCCGACATTTTCATTTCATAATTTATAATTGAGTAAATATTTAATTTTTTTAGCTCTTAAGAGAATTATTATTAATAATTTAATTTTCATAATTATTTTCTCTATTTTTAATTAAAAGCAATTAACAATAGTATTTATTTTCAAAAAACACTTTTATTAAACAAAGAAGGCTAAAGAGTTATTGTTTTAAAGAAAATTAGAAAAAATGTTAAGCGAAATTTAATTTAAGTTATTAGCCTTCTCTCAACTTCATTTTCGTGGCAGAATCATTAAATGGACATCTAAGTGTTGAAATTAAATGTTGAAATTAATTTAATGGTTGTCCATTTCTATTGCTTCATTCCTGATTTTTCTAGGACCTTTTCTACCCCAACAAATTTGTAAATTTTATTTTTTCAAAATTTTACATTAATATTTTTATTTTAACATTGAATATTTGTATACTCTTACAGAAAATAATTTAAAAAAATATTGCTGTTATGCAATTAAAAACTTTAATTATTCTTTTGTTATTTAATTTGATTAAAGGTTTATTTTAAATTAAATTAATTAATTTAATTTAATTTTTAAAGTTTTCCTCTTTTGTGGAAATGTAGAAGGAAGTGAATCCGAATTTGCGTTAGAATTAACAATAAAATATCTAAAATCACATAAATCAACATTTTGGATTCGAGATAAAATTAATTTAGTTTCGAAAAATTATTTTTGTAAAGAAAAGATTAGTCTGAATAAAAGAAAGAAGAGAAGGTTTACTGTTGGGGAAACAAGTACTAAAAGTTTAAATAAAGAAATTGAAATTGATGAATATGAAAGAGAAGGTATTTGGAGGGGTTTTTCTAATAGTTTATGAGTGTTTTAATGTTCGTCGATTTTTATTCGAGATTAAATTAATTTCACTATGGGCCTAATAAAAATTTATGAGTCCGACCAAACGTTAAAGGTCCAATGTAGGCCCAACTTATGGATGTTGGAGGTCTCAGATTTGGAGGTTTTCTTTAGAACATAAATCTTGTCTGGAAAGTCCATTAGTTGATGGTTTAAAAAATGTTTAAAAAAAATATATTTTTTAAAATCAATTATTAAATCCTCAATCTTCACTAAATTTAATTAGAAAAATTTTAAATATATGGATTACATTTTTAATGAAATTTTTAATTCATTTTTAATTTTATCAAAATCAAAAAGTAAAAAACATAAAAATCCTTTAGATGAAGAAAATCGGTTAAATAAAGATGCAGACACAATTATGGAAGCATTAATTTTAATTGTTGAAGATGAAAGTAAAAAAAGCTATAAATCCCATTCTTTTATTTGTACAGTTAGACGAAAGCTTTTAGATATTTTGTTGTCTAATGAGAAGATAAAGGGAGATATAGAAGACTGTGATGATGGAACAAATAAATATTTTGGAAAATATTATGGAAAACAATATATTGAAATAATTGAAAATATAATTAAATCAATTAAAGAAAGTGAAAAGATTAGGCATAAAAAATGTAAATTTTAAATTAGTATAGTTGACCAGATAGGCACCAATACTAAGGTTGTACTCCGTCCACGTAAGGCAGGGAATCTGAGCGTTTTTTGAAAATTCCCCGTTCCCCCCATCCCCGTGACGAAAGAAAAAATTTTCCCCTTCCCCGTCTCCTCCCTCCGTTGGGGAACAACCCTATTCAACACATACAAGATGAGAGAGATGTAAGTACATTTGTCAATTCAAGCTCATATAAGTATTAATTTTTAAGTATTAATTAATACATATTAATTATTAATATTAATTAATTAATATTAAGTATTAATTACTGTATTAATTATTCTCCCCCTATTTTTCCAGACACCCAAGAAGGAAAAAATTTATTAGCCATTTTACAATTCTTTCAACAAATTTTTGTATTATCAAAACCAGAAAATCCAGAAAAAAATAATGAAAAAGCTTGGGAATTGTTAAATGAAGTTTCGGGAAGAATTGACAATCTATTCAATTTTTTAAATTCTGAAAATTTAATTGAATTTAATAATTTTCCTCTATTTGAAAATAATAATAATGAAATGGTTAAAAAATGCTTTGAATTTTTCAAATTAAATAATAAAGTCAAAAAACGTAAACAGACGGTTTAGAAAGAGTAACGCGAATAAAATTATGAATAATGATAAACGAATAACAAAATTTTTTAATATTATCTAAAAATTATATATAGTAATAAATAAAAAAGTAAAAATAAATAAATGTAACAAACTTATAGCTTTTAGTAGAAATATAGAAAGTATAATACATAACTTTGATGTTGGATTTTCGGTTCA